ATTAAACTAGAATGAGGGTAAATTAGATATTTTGTAAACAGCTTAATTTGCAGTTGAGTAATTAACTATTTGATTACATAATTAGTAAAAGTAATTGGAATTATTCAGTCATTACCAAAAATGATCACTCTTGATATGTAAGTTTTAAATTGTTTTAGATATCCTTTTTTATGGAAGGCAGAATATGCACTGTAGCTATATGGATAACCTCACAAAGATAACGATCCCTACGGGAGAGGCTTAGCGTCATTACGATAATTGGCTTTGAATATCCCTTTTTAGCAGCCCTTAGCTTGAATAGCTTTTCACCGTGAGCATGCTGACAGGTCACAGTAAATATGATGTATAGCATCAGGAAAACAGTGTGACATACACGTTTGAATAATCATAATAACATAGAAAGATCAGACGTTAAGAGTCCTTCATTTTATTTAATTGTAGATTTCACTGTAAATTCTAAGAACTGAACATGATTTTAGAAAGTATAATAATTGTTAAAAAGGTTTGGTTATAAGTAGTCATTCCTCTTTGTGTGAAGTATCATCAAGTGTGTTGAGAAACAAAATAGTGTAGCTAACTAAAGACTTGCTCTTTGTAACTAAGACAGTGTAAACATTTAAAATGACATATATGATGAACTCTACAAAACAGAAAACTGTATTGTATAGCCTACACTCTTACAAATCACCACATGATCACATGCTGCCAATGCCGATAAATGCATGCCAATCTAAGAAATGTAGCTCTTGGATGTGATTTAAAACTGTCATGCTTGAACAATTGAAATCTTTTCATAGTTATAGTCAATTTGGGCTTGTGTTTAAGAGTTACTTCTCCAGTTAGGTTCACCATGCACTTGATAAAGGCTGTTTTTCATACACACCACGTTTCCAAACAGTATACATAAATCCACTTCAAACATATACTTCTACTGACTACTGCTACCAGTATTTAAAACCACAATGTTTCTTTAAGTATTGTAACTCAAGGTCTTACCTGAGGTTCCTGCTCTTGGCCAGCGTGTGGTGTATCTCTGAGTGACTCCCTCCAAGCGCCTGAGTTTCATGTTCCCCCATTTGTACAACCGTGCGTCACTCTACTCACAGAACAGGAAACCAGTTCAACCACTTTCTACTAAAAATGCAAGAATGCAGATATTCCATGTGCATACCAGAACGATATATGGCGGACAGCTCCCAACTATCCTCCCCTGGTGACTGAACATCCTCCAAATCCACCCAAGGCTGCAGCCAAATCATAATCCGCATTAGTGTCTTAAAAGCTGTTGGAATTACAGGCATGTAGGAGGAACTTCACTGACAGCCAGCCATTCAGATGCATTAAATCTGAAACTATTGAGTTGCTCTGCCATGACCTGTTTACTCAGATGGGATAACCTCCAAATGTACTCATTTTCAAGTGGGTAACCCCCTGTTGGTTCATTCATGTATTACCACACACAGAGCACATTTGTTTTATTTATAGTGATTTTAGTCACACGATTTTCCTGAAAGATGATCATACATAATTGTAAAGCTGGCCTAAAATGACAGTGGTGTCAAAATATGAAGAACAGAGACACTTCTACACTGAACCCAGAGAGTTATAACCATAAAGGACTAACTGACCTAGATTAACATGAAGTAATCCAGAGATTATCACTAATCAGGATCCGTGACCACTAGCTAGTGTTTATTTTGGCAGTACAAATACATGTTTCTTCTGGCTTTTTAACTTACAAATCAGTTCAAATACACTTTCATTTGTTTAAATAGTTTAAATATGCAAAAGGTCATAACTCAGGGTCTCCAGCCCCGCTCCTGGAGAGCTACCGTCCTGCAGAGTTTAACTCCAGCCCTAATCAAACACACCAGAACCAGCTAATCAAGGAGTTCAGGGTTACCTGAAAATTACAGGCAGGTGTGTTGGACCAGGATTGGAACTGAAGTCTGCAGGAAGCAGAAACTGAGAGAAGGGAGCAGGGTTGGAGACCCCAGGCATAAATATGGACAATATGCCTATTAATATGCATTGACAATTTCTGTATATACCTTGAAGACTTGACTAGAAAAAAACTGTTGCATTTTCACCATTAATGCTGAAGAAAAAATGATGCAGTTCAATAAGCACATTGACATTTTGTGCCAAGCTATGGGGTGAGTTGTCACAATGGAACCTGCCATTAAATAGCCTATTTTTCAGCAATATTTGAACAACATTTTTCTCCACAATATGTACAGTGAAAATTTCAAAATTCACCTCCAACTTTAACATAAAAATGACCAAAAAGCAACTTTAAATAACTCCATTTAATTATATACATTTTATGTCAATCATACACTGCTGTTCCTCCATGTAAATTCAAGCTGCTGCCTCCTTTATTGTATCTTTATCTGTAACAGCATTTGTGGAGTCCCCAGAGCCTTGCTGTTTGACATACTGCTGAAGGAGGGCAGAAAGGTGAGCTGGATGGTGAAGTAGCATTGAGACAGTCCGTGAAGTCATCATGGTTAGACCACCAACTAGCTCACCCTGAATAGTGGTCATAGACGGGAGTTTGGAGTAATTGAGAATGCCTTGATACGAAAGCAATGTGTTCTCTATACAAGCACCTGAAAGAAAATGGTACAGAAAGCCTGTGAGACAATACCAACACATTTTTAGAAGATCTTTAAAAGAATAGTTAACCCAAAAATGAAATAAAAATGCTGGACAGCATGGGTTTTAAAAGTGCTTATTTCTCTCCCGATTCAGACGAGACAAATTTTTCACTTTTCAATGAAGAAAGCAATAGTATGGATAGTGGACTATTTTAGCAGAAAGCAATGGTTTCAAGTCAAAAACACCCTAATGATGGATTTGTTTATTACAAACATGCAGCTTTTCACTTCAGAAGTCTTTAACTGGAGTCATGTGGATTGTTGTGCAGAGGATCCATTGGTGATCAAGTGTTGTAATATTACATTTCTCCAAATCTGTTCCGATGAAGAAACAAATTCATCTACATCTTACATGGCCTGAGGGTGAGTACATTTTCAGAAATGCTTCATTTTTGAGTGAACTATTCCTTTAAGAATGCAAGTTCATGCATAGGACAGTGACACTCACCTAAAAGCACCATCTGAGGACTGTGCCTTAATGTTTGCAGCATCTCTTTAACTTTTGGCTCTTTACTAACAATTATCACAGTCTGGCCAACAAATAGAGGCCACATGTTACTGTAAATGCTGTTGCTGAGAAAGGACCTCGTCACCTACAAAGAATCAAACAACATGTCACACAGCAGTAGCCTACATCTCAATAGTGGTAACCATTACTATAACTTGGCATTACCTGGTTTGGGAAGAACTTTACACTGATATTGTGCCTTTTCAGTTTGTGTTTCAGCACCATGAGGTCCTCTGCATTGATTGCATTGTTTTGAACCACGGCAATCATCTTACATTCCTTAAACAAGGTTTCTAGGTCTTTTCTCAACAAAACTGCCAGAGCACTTTCCTAAAAGGAAAGAGAGTAGAGATATACATATATATGTTAATAGAACACTTAGAATTACACACTTAAAACACTATATATATATTTTATAATATATATTATATAATACATATTTTATATTATCATTGTACTTGATATATATTTGTTAAAGGGACACTTAAAATGACACACTTAAGATAGTGTTCTGTAAGTATAGCAATGATCGACCTCTTCAGTCTGTCTGACTCGTGGAGCCAGTGCACCAGGAGGAGCTGCAGGTGTTGGGGGAATGTACTCTGTGACAGCCATCAGCTTCTGCTTGGGAAAGTGTACTGGCTTTCTTTGACAGCTTTGGATCCGTGACGAACAATCTGGCTTAATGGCAGCCATCCTGTAGGTTGACAATGACATATGATAAATATTGGTCAGAATAACATTAAGGCTAGAATATGTACATTAACATTCAAAGTACGATAGGAATGTAAAGGATGCAACAAATGATTCACTAATGTCATGAGAACATCATATGTGGTGTTTTAATCATGAAAATAAATACAGGGGTTTGCCGAAAATCCAAAGTGGCAGCATGCATACATGGATAACAGAATGATACATATGAAGAGATAAACCAATCAACATTAAGTAAACAGAGAAGAGTTGAACATACATTTCCAAGCACCTCAAATATGAGTCGCGTTTTCTCTGATAGATAATAATGATTATGCTGTCCAGTTCCACAATATAGCTTCATAGTGACTTTCAGGTGCATGTAATTTTACAATGGAGTTCATAGTTTAAATGTAAATGGCAGGTATTTGCTTATTTATGTTATTCGCTTATAATATGTTTTGCTATAATATCAAACCAGAATCTTACCCGATTTTGGGAGAAGCCTGCTACATAAGGTCGCTGCCATCTTGATCCGGTTACGCCCTCTTTTCCACAACGCACCATCATCTGCATACAAAGATCTTCCTATCCCACTATCAACCATTATAAAAATGTCATTAATCATTAAGTTAAACAGAATTGGACTGCTAACGCTGCCCTGAGGCGTTCCATTCTCTTTGATCCGGATTTGACGTGGGACATTTTTGTTGTATCGTGCTTACAAAATAAACGTCCGTTGTTTATAAGAAATAAAAAGAATAATAATAAATTAAAAGTTAAAAGAAAAATACACATTTTTT